AGAGAGGGGCGGGAGAGAAGACACAAAGACCGTGAGCGAGTGCTGAGTTCAGTCTCGAGTGCGGGGGCGCCCCTGCACAGGTCAGCGTGGACTCCGTGGGCGTGGAGTGCGGGCGTGGACCCACGGAGGCGCGCCCAACCCTAGCAAGGAGCCTCCGGAGGCCAGGAGATCTCTGCGCCCGGGCCCCAGCGGTCAATCACACTGGGGCAGCCGGCCACTCGCAGGACCCAAAGCGCCCGCCCCGCGCCTCCTCCCGCCCTTCCAGTGTAACTCGAGTTCCGCGTCCGCCGGCTGCGGGATCAGTCGGCTACGCCCTGGCCCAACCTTCCTCTAGCTCCTCTCTCTTCTCTCCACCCCCTTCCGTGGTTTTGTTTCCTAATAGCAAAGGGCAACGGTAACTCTCATTCGCGGTCGTTACAAAGAAACGGGTCTTTAACCTCTCCTGAATTAATGCGACCAGATTCAACTTCCCTCCAAATGTGTTTTTCTGCTTTTGTCTTTTTAATCATTCTTCTCTCTGTTCCGGCCCCGCCAGCTCCAGCTTCTTGGAAGAAGCCGGCGCTTTCACCCTGCGCTGTGCGGCAGGTCCCCTCTCAGCCAATCACATCTGCGGATCCGCGTCCCGAGCCTGCTGCGGACACTCGGTAAAGCGAGCTCCCAGTCGCGTCAGAAGTCCGAGTGACACCGCGGTCTGGAGTAGTTTGGATGGGCTGAGAAGGTACCTGGGCACTCTCCGCAGAACTAGCTGGCAGCTGCGCGAGGCTTGGGTGGTGTTTCTTTGACATTTCCCTTCCTGAAAGCGGCGAGAAGGGGTCTGAGAGAGGGCGAACTTCAACGTGTTCTGTTACAGTGTACTTAGATTAATGAGAATGGTGAGATTTTATGCTGTGCAATTATGCCACGATTTGTTGTTGCTCTGGCTTTTGCACAAATTTCCACAGCCTACTAGCAGATTAATTCAGTGGCAGGTCAGTTTCTACTTTTGCAATTGGACGGGTCCAAAAATGAGGAAGAAAAACAATTGTCTGCAAGGTAAGAGGCTGTTAAGCGGAGACTCAGGAAAGCAGTTGTGAGATTGATGATAGAGTTCAATTTCTTATCAGTAGGTGTGAAGTGGTATCTAATCTCAATAATGGCCCCAAGGCTGGGAGCCACTTCTTACTGCCTTTGCTTTAGCTATTCCCCTAACCGCTCAGGGCTGCCATATTAAGCTCACTTACATCCAAATCGCAACTCTACCGCTATGTTACTCAGAATCTCTAATTAAATTCATACGAACCACAGACAAGCTAATATTCTACATGTTAGAATGTTCTAATCAATGGACCAGGGTAATTGGGGCAAACCTTCCCTCTCTTACCACTTTAGTCATTAGACACATTGTGAATTGCTCAAACCACTAGGTCCCTAATGAAGCATGCCTATCTATTTTTACTGTAACTTTTCATTACCTACTTATTACATACTATGACTCAAGTGTTCAACACACCTTTCACTACCCACGATATAATCCAAACCTTCTGTATATCCATAATATGCTTAATGATAGCTTCAGAGTTTTCCCCTAACCGCTCAGGGCTGCCATATTAAGCTCACTTACATCCAAATCGCAACTCTACCGCTATGTTACTCAGAATCTCTAATTAAATTCATACGAACCACAGACAAGCTAATATTCTACATGTTAGAATGTTCTAATCAATGGACCAGGGTAATTGGGGCAAACCTTCCCTCTCTTACCACTTTAGTCATTAGACACATTGTGAATTGCTCAAACCACTAGGTCCCTAATGAAGCATGCCTATCTATTTTTACTGTAACTTTTCATTACCTACTTATTACATACTATGACTCAAGTGTTCAACACACCTTTCACTACCCACGATATAATCCAAACCTTCTGTATATCCATAATATGCTTAATGATAGCTTCAGAGTTGGCCTGGAAAAATGACTTTTTTTGGGGGGGGGCAATTGACTTTTTTAGATAATGCTGTGGACTAAATATTATTAGAGAAAAAAGTTACTTTTGCAATTACTATATATAGCCAATGAACACATATTTCATTTAAATACTAGTAAACATCTTTTAAAAAGTAAATATAGCACTTTTCGAAGTGTTTTGCTAATAAAGACTAACTGTAAGACATAAGACTTTTTTCCTTCTGAATCCAAAATTTAATTAAATCCCCATGAAAGATGCATCTGGCTTTATTGACCATGATTTAAAACATATAAAGAGTTAAGGATCAATAAATTCAGTTAGGTTTGGGTCTTTCCGCTCGCTCCTTCCTCTCTGATCTGTCTTCCCCATATCCTGTTCCTTAAGTACATAGGTGCTCTAGATTTTCTTATCAATAGAGGGCGTTCTTGAGTCACTTCAAATCCTGGTGGTGTGAAAAGGAACTGTTCTTCAGAGGAAAAACTTCATCTCCTCTAAGGTGCTTTATTGCTCCTATGTTGTAAAATTGGACAAGTTCAAGATTTATAAGCCTAACAATTCACTTTTTATTGCTGCATAAGTGTTCAGCTGCTAGAGGAAAATGCTAATTTTCACAATTAAACCGCAAGGTGGTTCCCATTTTCAAGACATTAGGTCAGTTGACACACTCGTGGGCAAATTTGGACCCTTAGCAAGATCTGGAGCTGGCTTAGAAAGCAACAGTGTGGTGAATGGTCGCTTATAGGGCAGCCCACAAATTCACTGTGCTGCAAGTCAAGGAGGATTTTAGACTCCACAGCAGAAAGACTGGGGAGGGAGCTGAGACACACAGAAAAGCAATGACATAAAAGTTTGACATTTAAATGTGGAGTGACTGACAGCTTGCACAACTCACAGATCTACTATGTTGCTTGCCAGTTGTACTCTTTCTCCCTTTGTCTTTGCTTTCAAGAGTAAAGACCAGTCCACAACTGTACATTCAGGGGATCCAGCAAAACATAATGCTGCGTGAATGTGCAAGTGGATAGAATTAAAACATACCAGGAACAGTAATGGATTCTAAACGAGATGTGGTTTCATTTCCTGAACCTGTATGTGGTGTCTGAACTGTTCCCCGGTTAATATAGCTCCATTGCTAAAAATCTAGCTCGAAGATCTCTGCTTACCAGATCACCTAGCAGAGGAACCCAGTCAGACTCCGGGTTACGATCTGTGCAACCCATTCTAGAGCAGGGGCTCTCCCGGCTAGTTCCTTGTCCACTGCCACTGCGTACCAAAGCACCAAAGCACCGGCTGAAATAGCCCAGAGACCCACAGCCCAGCGGCACGCAGCTAGTGGTTTGTACTTACATCATTCTTAACCCTTCCGCTCCTGGAAAGGGCTGGGCGGGATCAGGGGGCCCTGGAGCTTCGGACCACGCAGGACCTGAGTGTGAGAGAAGAGCTCCAGAGCTCGGCGTGAGCGCTGCGTCCCTGGAGGGAGAGAAGCCCAGGCGTGCGAGAGGTTCATCACCAGCGCATACACAACGGGCCCCCATGGTCCCTGCAGGCTCCACCGCGCCTTGCACGGCTCAAAGCGGCAGGTGCAAAAAGCATTTGGGAGCCGCTTGCCAGCGCGCGGAGGTAATGTGCTTCCTGTCCATTTATCTCAGGAAACCAGCGCAGCCTTCCCTTCGAAACAAAATGAACCTCTCATTAGCCAGCCACTCACTCTCAAGAAGGCCTTAAAAGCTTTACCAGCTCACTAATGCATTTAGGCTTTTCTTCCAGGCAAACGTAGCCTCGGGCCGTGCCTGCCATCAGCCTTGGGGGGTTCCTTTGGGCTCCCCCCGCGAGCCACCCGCCTACTTTTCTCCAACTGAAAGTCTGGGAAACTCAGGTCAACCTGGGACCCCAGTTTGCAGTAGCGGACAGACCCAACACCCCTGCACGAACTTCATCCCGGAAGCCGTCAGAACAAGTTCCCACTAATTCCGTGCGGGCCCATTACAAGGAAAACCTCAGCCGCCCTACGGTCAGGGGACAGAGAGGGAAGGGACGTCCAAGGCCAGCTGTCCGGGGTCGTGGGCGCTGGCTGCCCTCGGGAGCGCCAGCCCAGACTTCAGCCAGTGCAGCAGGGCTGACGAGGGACATGGGGACCACGGAAGCCGGGCTCTAGCGGCTCCAGGCGCGGAGAATCAAACTTGGTCCGAGGTCCGCAAGTGGCGAAAAGGGGTCTTGCATCGCCCGGGCTTTCTGAGCCCGGCCCCCGCCGCCCGGAGGCTGGCAGATTTATACCACACAGGTGGATAGAGACCTAAGCACAACAGTCCGGCCGCTGCCTGCCGCTCGCCCCTCGCGTCCCCCTTCCCCACCACAAACTTCAACAAAATAAACAACTCACCACAGGCATTCCCTTGTCTGCAGCGCGACGCTTGCCAGCTGGGAAAATAAGCCGCAAGCCACGCGGCCGAGGCGCCCGCCCCTCTCCCCCAGGTGGGAGGCAGGGTACGGGGGCGGGAGGGAGCTGCCTTCTCCCTGCTCCCTGCCTCGGACTGAGCTCCCGGAGAGGGGCTGCGCCCTTCCAGCCGGCGTGCTATCTGCCACCTAGGGGAGAGGGCGGGGAGCCAGAGCCTTCAGTCTTCCCCCAGCTCCCCCCAGCTGCTTTCTCCCCCATCCTGCCTTGCAGAGAGCCAAACTGGGCGTACCCCCCTCTGCCAGCAGCCCCTCCAGCGCCACATCGCCCCCTGCTGGCGCCATCTCCAACGCCGCAGAGCGCGGGTGTAGGGGCACCCCCGAACCCCGCCCCCATGTCCCGACTCGGCTCTCTCCTCCCCCAGTCCCCCACGCCTGGCTTACACAAAGACGCCTTTCACGCAGCCAGCGCCACCCTCCGCGCGGCCGTCCGGGCGGGGCGCGCCGCCTTTGCCAGCGCCCGTTTCCCGGTGGGCTATCGTGCCAGTCGTCGGGGCAGGGCTGCAGCCGACGCGCGGGGCTCGGCCCTACCCCTCGGAACAGGCAACAGATGCGCTGCCCCGCCCCCCCCCCCCCCCCCGCCACTTACTCTAGCTGTCCCCCCGCGGCCACCAAAGGCACCCCTTCCTCTCCGTTAGATAGCCTCGGAGGGTCTTTCTAGCGCATCTAAATACGGGGCGAGGTGGCAGGAACGGCCCTTTAAACTTTCGCCGAAATGAGGAACCCAGCGATCTTTCCTGTTCCCGGAGATGCCCATGCGGTTTTCCAGTTTAGGAAAGCCCGGGGTCAAAGATTCGGGGATAAGGAGGCGAGAGGATCGAAAGGGACACTTAGGATCCAGTTGAACAAAAGTGCTATACAGAGCAAGCCCACGGCAGTGTTCGAGGGACGACGGTCAATCCACGCGGAAGGCATGGAGGGCGAGAAGAAAGCCATTAGCACCCCCCGAGAACCCCCCCCCATCTTCCAGGTTGAAAGGGGGCGTCCGGGGGACTGAGCAGCAGCTGCGGGAGCCGGGGCATTCGCTCCTGTGAGTCGAGGCGCACGTTCACGCATCTCGATCACCGTGTGCCTCTACCGCCTTGGTGTCTATGACCCCACCCCCCAACCCCGCTTCTCCTCGCCTCCCCTCCCCCACCCCACCCCTACAGTCTCTCGATTTAACGCTAGAGGCAGCACAGGGCAGTGTTAAGAGGGCGTGAGTGGGAATCCAGGGAGAAGGGTCTAGTTCTGACTGAAAGGGGCTGGGGCTTCAGCAACCGATTGAACGTCTGTGGGTCTGTGGACCTTGGGGGGCACTCTCACCAAATGCTGTGTAAGGGGCAATGGCCCGACTCCTTCAGGTTTTCAAATTCCATGCAAGGGGCACCTCCTCCCACCCTCTGCTGGTTCCCTCTGTTTCCCACCTTCTCTTCTCCAAGTGCCAGTCATTTTGAAAACAAAAATTCTGAGGCTGTTTCAAGGTCACCACAGGATATATTGAAACAGGACATCTTTGCTACTGACAATTACAAAAACAAAAACAAAAATTCAGCTCCTGGTTCTCAGAAGCAAGGAATTTTAAAGACCCCACTTGGTTTGCCTTTGAAAAGCCACTTCAGCAATCAGCAAAGCAGAGCTTTGATTTAGAGACTGAAGCTAAGTCTCCTGTGTTTTTCCTTTCCTTTCCACCAACACAAAGACGAACTGCAGGGAGAAAGAAAGAAAGAAAGAAAGAAGAAAGGAGTAAGGGTACAAAGCAGGCCCGGAGACCAGCCCAGGGCCTGTTCCCTGGTGGAGGCGCAGTTCTTTGCCCCTCTCCTGCTAAGCTGGCTTGAGACAGTTCCCGGTAGATAGCTCAAGGTACGGGAACTCTCCCTCACGCTTTTTCATAAGTATTGGTCAGTGGGACCTGGATGCTTACATGTCAGTCACCATGTAAATGCATGAGTCAAATCCTGACTTTAATTTTTCCTTAGTCTCATGATATTTTTCAGAATTTTCAACTCACTCTTCACTTAGGGATCTTTGAGCTTTAGTTCTCTCTCTGGACAACTTTGTTTTCTGTGAAATCTCTAAAATCATGTTTACAAATGGTGAAATTTCACAACGAGTTACTCATTTTTAAACTAGAAATTGCTTCTTCAATTTTGACAAGAGAAGTTTAGAATTACTTAGCTATCAATGCATACTTTAAGAAGTTATCTATGAAAGAGAATTCTTAAGTGTCCTTTCACTGGGGAATAAAAGAATCTTTAAACAATAGTGGTGGAAAAATACTGTGAGCTTGTCAAATTCTGTTGCTTTCATTTTAAAAATAATTTTTTTCACTGACAAAATTAGTATTTGTTGTGTACAACATGAAGTTTGAAATAAGTATATGTTGCAGAATGGCTAAATATAGCTGATTTACATATGCATTACCTCAGTTATCTTTTTTTGTGGTGGAAACATTTAACATCTACTCTCAGTAATGTTTAAGAATACAACGCATTAATAACTACAGTCCCCATGTTGTACAATGGTCTGTTACTGTCATTTATATCAATCTTGACACTCTTATACTAAAACATTTATATTTCTAATAAAACTTTGGATGTTCTATTAGCAAAAAGGCATAGTTTATTTTCTTTTTCTCTTTTTTAGTTTTGCTCAGTGTTCCACAGATTTTCCCATTATTTCATTTTGATATTTCTTTTTTTTTCTTTTCTTTCTTTCTTCCTTTCTTTCTTCATTTCTTTCTTTCTTTCTTTCTTTCTTTCTTTCTTTCTTTCTTTCTTTCTTTCTTTCTTTCTTTCTTTCTTTCTTTCTTTTTTGAGAGACTTTTGCTATAGGGCACATGTGCTCACCAGAAAGAGACAGAGAAAGCCAGAAATCACTCTCCCCCGCCCTGGGAGCGGGGCGGGGAGGGGGGAATAGCCATGCCACAAACCCTTCTCCTCCATTCTCCTCCCGGGGTCTTGGGCACGCACTCACATGCTCCCACTGGGTCTGGGACTCAAACCACAGTCGATTACATGGGAATCCAGCGACGTAGCCATTACACCAACTGCTGATGCCAATATTTCTTTTATTTTTCTCACAGCAACCAAAATAGAGCAAAGATGAGACTAGAAAGGGGATAAGAGGTCACTTTTCAGTAAAATTTACTTAGCATTTCTGTATTAATTATATGGAAACTCTCTGCTAATACAATGTATATACACACCATTTTTTGAATTTTCACTTAAAGATGATGACACTTGAGACTTTTAAAAGTTCAGCTAATGTGGACCAGCAGATTGCTTAATGGTTACATTGCTGGACTCCCACGTAGTTGACAGTGGTTCGAGTGCTGGACCCAGTAGTTTAAAACTCACTCTGGGCATGTGTGTGCTGATGCGTGCCCAAAATCCCGAGGAGAATGGATTGCGGCTTGGTCTTTCACCTGAAAGGGAGTGGTGATTTCTCATTTTCCATGCCTCTGTCTCTTTGGCAAGTGCATGTGCCTTACAGCAAAAAATGTCTCGGAGCTGGCAGGTGGTGTGGTGGTTAAAGGCATTGGACTCCCACATGACTGACTGTGCTTTGCGTCCTGGACCTGTAGACTTGCTTTCTCACTTTATTCTCTCTCTTTCTCTCACTGTGTCCCTCTCTGATCAAAAATAAATAAATAAATACATAAATAACATTAAAATAAAATGATTCTTTAAAAAACATAAATCTCAAAAAAATCCCCCCAAACAAAAAACTCATGTTGAGTGCATGTGTGTGCATGCTCCAAATCCCAAGAGGGGAATGGAGGAGAAGGGATTGCGGTGTGGCCATCACCTCCTGGGGGGTGTTTCTTGCTTTCTGTCTCTCTGTTTCTGTGATGAGCACATGTGTCCTATAGCAAAAATCTCTCTCTCTAAAAAAAAAAACAACAAGTTCAGCTAGTGTATACATCTACCCCCTTGTTGTTAAGGACATAGCTTGCTTACTTTTGGCGTTTTGTTTTTTCGTTTTGTAAACTGCGGGACTTATCCGGATATAGAGCATGTGGATCCATTTCTGGTTTATCTTGTTTTGCTTTTCTTACATGTTTTGTTGAAAATTCTTCTCTAAACTAGTTTCAGGTTGATGCCCAACTTAATAATTCTTAGTCATAAAGTTTGAGAATTACTACTGTTAAAAAATTACACCAGTTTACGGGACCAGCAGTTAGCATAATGGCTATGTCACTGAACTCCCATGTAGTAGACCACGGTTCGCGTTCCGGACCTGATGGCTTAAAACTCACGCCGGGCGTGTGTGTGTGCATGCCCAAGATCCCGAGAGGAGAATGGAGGAGAAGGGATTGTGGCATGGCCATCTCCCCTGGGGGCTGATTTCTTGCTTTCTGTCTCTCTGTCTCTCTCTGTCTTTCTGGTGAGCGCACGTGTCCTATAGCAAAAAAGAAAAGAAAAAAAAAAAGAAACAAACAAACAAACACCTCTCCAAAAAAAATTACACTAGTTTGAGTATTTGCAGTATTAATAATATGATTGTTAAGAAAGTGAGTATTTATAAAATAATACTAGGATAAAATGCCATTTTCTAAAAGTGTGATTTAATAAATATATCTTGTTTAGTTGAATATTACTGAAATTCATCAAACTCGTTTTTGTTCGTTTTGTTTTATAGGACCAATGTTTATACTGAGTAAAAGTATAAGGAATTTAAGACCTATGCCTTCTTTTGAAAAGGTGAGGGACCAGCAGTTAGCATAATGACTATGTCGCTGGACTCCCATGTAGTTAACCGTGGTTCGAGTCCTGGACCTGGTGGCTTAGACTCACACCAGGCGTGTGTGTGTGCGTGCCCAAGATCCCGAGAGGAGAATGGAGGAGAAGGGATTGTGGCATGGTCATCCCCCCTGGGGGGTGATTTCTCGCTTTCTGTGTCTTTGTCTCTGTCTTTCTAGCGAGCGCACACACCCTATAGGGAAAACCTCTCCAAAAAAGAAAAAAAAGCTGAGAATTTGCTTTGCTTTTTGACCCCCTATACAAGGCTACAAAACAGTTTTCTTGAACTGTCAGCTCATGTGATATTTAAGGTAAGAAATTGTGGTACATTGTAAATTTTACAAACGAAACACATAGAAAGTTAAAAAAAAATCATTTTAAAGGATGAAAACTACTACATTTTACCAGCAATCCAAGCATTTTCAAGAGAAATCTGACTTCTGA